GGCTTTGCCTCTTTCCGGCCTATTCGGCTAATAAAATCTTTTTCTTCTAAAAAAAAAAAAACTTGATTATTATAACGATCATATTTGTATTGTTTATTAAAAATATTTGTCAACAAACAAATTGAATCTGATAAACTTGCATTCCTTTATTATTCATAATTAACAAACTTGTTTAGTGGAGTAACCTAAACAAGTACATAATAAAAACAATTATAAAAGTTCAATGAATTTACAATCAAACAACAACATATAATTAATAATAATAATAATAATAATAATAATAATAATAATAATAATAATAATAATAATAATAATAATAATAATAATAATAATAATAATCCAAGACTTATTAAATAATCGGATGACTGGGATTTCGATCTTCAATATATTCCTCGTCTCTCGGTGTTTGGACAGATGCAATGAGGCTTAACCATCCTTTTTAGCTTCATCCCTTTCCCTTCTTTTGATGGCCAAATATTCTCTATGTGTTGATAGATAAATCCAAGGCAAAAGGGACCAAATCACCGAATCGCACTGCCCTTACGTACCAAACTATTAGTTTTGGGGAGAGAAAGTGAGATTGCTTTTCCATTTTTTCTGGCTTTTATTGTCATCATAGCGGAGAGAGAAGAGATTATCTTTTAAATTTGGGATATTACTATTCTATTCTCAAGTTGTATACATTGCAACAGGCAACAAGTTATAGCACCCAGTCTATCTGATCTATTTGATCACATGGCATACTACCTGCATTCAAATTCCTTATATTGCTTGTGAAGTTGATTTAATTTACTCGATAGATGATGTGGAGTTGAAAATATTGAAATTGATTGATCACTATACTTAAATTAATTTTATGTAGCAACATAATCGTGTTTTCTTTCATTAAGTTTCAATATCTTTATGTATGGTACAGAAAGAGTCTTCGATGAATTCTTCTCTTGATGAACAGCAATCAATCTGGATTTTTTCTCAAAATTTTAAGGAGAAATTTCAATTTTGGTCATATGACTATAAGGGTCTTGTTAATTTTAGTCCATGACTTTTAAAAGTGTCAATTTAGTACTTTAACTATGCAATTTTTTGTCAATTTTGGTCACTCTGGCCAAATTTCGCCGGAAAATTTTAATAATTAAAATAATGAGGATATTTTGATCGTTTCACGCCTCTTTTCTTCTTCTCCGGTGAGTCCATCCCTTTCTCTCCCGTTTCCGGCGTTCTTTCTCCCTGTAAACCCTATCTTTAATATCATCAAGCCTCCTTTCCCCATCATCTTAGTTCATTGCATTCGCCGAAAACGGGAGAGGAAGGGATGGACTCGACTGGGAAGAAGAAAAGAGACATGGAACGACCAAAATATCCTCATTATTTTAATTATTAAAATTTTTCGATAAAATTTGGCCAGTAATTTGGTCGGAGTGACCAAAATTGACAAAAATTGTATAGTTAAGGTACTAAATTGACACTTTTAAAAGTCATGGATTAAAATTAACAAGACTCCTATAGTCATATGACCAAAATTGAAATTTTCTCAAATTTTAAAATCATTAGGTTCAGGAATACCTAGGAAACTTTGTTGGATAATTGAGTGACTAAACGTGTTAACAAAGTAGTAAACAGGTAATGGATTTCTTTGTTCTTGGCATTCTTCTAGCTGGTTGTGATGATACTTCTCCTTCTTTAATCTCCAAGGTCCCTAACCTGGAAAACATTAAGCAATTTCGACCTATAGGTTTGTGCAACGTTTCTTATAAACTAATTACGAAGATCATGATGCTTCGGCTCAAAGGCATCTCTAGGAAACTAGTTGGCCCGCACCAAATGAGCTTCATCCCTGGGAGACAGATCTCGGATAATATTCTTGTCTATCAGGAACTTCTTAATTCAATGAGATATAAGAAAGGGAGAGTAGGATGGATGACGTTAAAAGTTGATCTTGAGAAAATACGACAGACTTTCATGGAGTTTTATAATGGATACATTGCAGGAGATTGGGTTAAGCCATGCTTGGTCTAGGAACATCCTTGAATGTGTATCCTCTTCGTGCCTTGGGGTCTTGTGGAATGGGCATCAAACTGATTGGTTCTCACCGGGAAGGGGAATCAGTTAGGGAGATCCTATTTCCCCTCTTCTTTTTGTCTTATGCATTGAAAGATTAAGCCATATTATCGGCAATTCTATTAGGTATGGACGTTGGAAGGGTATCAAAGTTACACGTAATGCGCCTAACATGTCCCATCTTTTTTTTGCAGATGATTTACTACTGTTTGGGGAGGCCTCTATCCAGCAGGCTTTAGAAATGAAGACGTGCTTGGACCTCTTCTGCTCTTATTCAGGCCAGAAGATTAGCATGCAGAAGTCCTCGCTCTTCTTCTCAAGGAATACTGATTCTGACCTTCAACAACGAATTGTAAAAGCAGTGGGCATCCCTAGCGTGGTGGATATGGGGAGATATTTGGGGGTACCCTCAATCCATGGTTGTCTTAAACAGGATTCCTACAGTGGAATTCTGGAAAAGATACAGTCACGACTGGCAGGTTGGAAGTCTAAGACTCTCTCCCTGGCTGGTCGACATGTTTTGGCCCAATTGGTTCTTGTAGCTATCCCTTATTTCACCATGCAGACGACTTTGCTTCCGACAGGGGTGATCTCGTCCATCGGAAGGCTAATTAGGGACTTCCTTTGGGGCAGTAGAGATGGGACTAGAAAATGTCACCTTTTGAGCTAGGAGTCTGTGACTAATAGCAAGTCTAATGGGGGTCTAGGCATTCGTAGCCTCAAGCATATGAACTTAGCGTTTCTAGCGAAGCTCGGTTGGAGGTTGGCTCAAGACGAAGATTGCCTATGGATCAAGATGTTCAAAGCCAAATATGGAGCATCTCCGGTTGATTTAAGCTCTTGGCATTTAAAAGCTACTAGCTCTAATGCATGGAGAGGAATCATTAAAGTTAAATCCATTCTACGTAATGGCAGCAAGAGGCTCGTTAGGAATGGGGTCAGCACCCTGTTTTGGCAAGACAAATGGTTAGTGGATAAGCCTCTCTTGGAGGTTGCGCCTGGTGTTGTTCCCCCATATGAGCTTACTAGATCTGTGGGTAGCTATTGGGATGCGGAGGAGGGATGGCGTTGGGATCAAGTGGATCATTTTCTGCTCGTTGATACTCTGAACAAACTGGCTGGCTTCTTCTTTCACGAGGAGCCTGGCTCAAGGGGTTTAATGGGTTGGATTGGAGGCATTAATGGGAGCTTCTCAGTCAGTTCTGCTTATGATCTTTCACGGAATGTTGAGGAATCTCTTGATGCAACTAAGTGGAATAACATTTGGAAATTAAAACTTCCAAATCAAATTCGTACTTTCCTTTGGCTCTTAAGGCATGATAGGATCATGACAAACTATAATATTTGAAGCGTGGCCTAACAACTCGGTCGAAATGCTGGTATTGCGAGGGTCTTGTTGAAGACTCTAATCACGCTCTGCGCTTTTGCCCAGCTGCGAAGGAAGTCTGGAGACATATATTGCCGTCTGTGCATGAAAAGCTCCGGTTGTTGCCCCTCGTGAGATGGCTGGATGAAGGAATATCTGCCTCAGGTCATGACAGGGCCCCATTTAGTGATAACATCATTTTTACAGTTGGTGTGTGGTGGATTTGGAAGTGGCGCAACGAGGGCAATCTTCAGTGGCTCCATCAAACCATTGTCAGCAAAGGTATCCTTGATCAATCTACAAGTTGATGAGATCAACAGAGCTTTTGCCAGATCGAAGGGCCCCCAAGCTTCGAAATAACTCACGGCTTGGACAAAGTGTTGTTGGGAGGAACCGCCAGAGGATACTGTGAAGCTCAATGTTGATGGCTCTGTCATGCTACACTCACTCTTAGCTGGCTATGGAGGAGTTACAAGAGATCACACTGGTACGTGGATGAAGGGATTCGTTTCGCCGATTGGCAAGTGTTCTCCTCTTGAGGCAGAGTCGTGGGCTTTGCTAAAGGGGATCCAACTTGCTGGTTTTCTGGGTTTCAAACAGGTGCTAATTGAGTCTGATTCTGTCAAAGCAGTAGTGTACCTTAATGCCACTAAATCGCCGTGTATTGCTGCGCATAATATACATGAAGCTTGTAAGAAGGAACTCCGCCCCTTCTCCCGTTGGCAAGTAACAGCCATCCCGCGCGAATTGAATCGGGTGGCTGATGCCTTAGCTAAAGCCTCTAGGTGGCAGTGTAATGGTCATTGTTTACTCCCTGAACCTCCATCGGAAATAGTTAGACTCTTGGAGAATGATTGCGCCGACTTTCCCGCTTGGCGTAATGTGTGTTCTTCGTTGTAACCTTTACTCTGTTTTCGGGTATCCCCCTTCCTTGTTATATAAAAAAATGTAGTAAACTTTGTTGGATCAAAATTCATTTTGATTATCACGTCATTTTTAGTATATCCTTGGAAAAAAACAAAAATAGAACAAAAGGTGAAATGATCATTTTAGTCACTCAATTATACTAAAATAACCAACTCAATTCCTTAATTATGCAAATAACTCTATTTAGTCTCTAAATTGTTTGTTTGGTGGTCATTTTAGTCCCTCATCGAAAATAACTGTTAAAAATAACGGTGAAGGAAGAGTAAATATGTAATTAAAATCATCTGTTTTCTCCCAAAGCACACATCAAAAAGTGAAAAATAGATTTTAAGTCAAAAGCAAAATAAAGTAACTTTGTTTTCTTAAATACTCCTTAACCAATAAAAATAATTATGTGACAAAATGTTTCCAAAACGGTTAAGGGAAGCTAAGAAAAGACTAGTATTGATTAGAATGGAAGGAATTGTATTGAATGAAACTTATTATAAAGATACAGGATATCGGAATATATATAGTAAGGGAATCACAAGGAGAATAGGATAGCGAGCCATAATCTAACTCAAATACATAGAATCCTAATACTCCCCTCAAGCACATTGTAAGCTAGTAATATGTAATTAACTTGTCTCTAAGAAAATAAAATCTAGGGTCAGATAAAGCTAGTAAAGATATTAGCAAGTTGGTCTTTGGTTGAATTAAAGTTGACTTGAATATCTCCAGAAGCAACTCTATCTCTAACAAAGTGATAATCAATTTCTACGTGTTTGTTGCGAGCATGAAAGATAGGACTTGCACACATATATGTAGCACCAAGATTATCACACCATAACTTAGGAACAGGAATACCTGGCACATTGATCTCACGTAACAATGAAAGAATCCATATTACTTCAACACAAACATCTGCTAGAGCTTTATATTCTGCATCATATCAGTAGAAAATCTAACAATAGTTCTTTGTTTCTTACATACCCAAGACACAAGATTAGATATGAGAAACACAACATAACCACTAGTAGATTTACCATCTTCAGGATAACCACCCTAATCAGAATTAGAAAAAGCATGAAGTTCTCTTGACACTGACTTTCTTATACGCAAACCAAGATCAATTGTCCCTTTAACGTACCTCAATGCACGTTTTAGTTGATCCCAATGTGATGTTGTAGGAGCATCTATGTGTTGACAAAGCTGATTTACTGCAAAAGACAGGTCAGGTCGATCTAGTAATCGTGAGGTACTGCAGCACCCCAGCCAGACTCCTATATTGCATAGGATCATCATACAAATCTGCATTGAAAAGGACATATTTCGAGACAGGAATGGGAGTAGCTAGAGGTTTGCATTCTGCCATACCTGCTCGTTTCAAAATATCTGTCATGTACCTTTTATGAGAAAGCATAATTCCATCATCACATTTAATCATTCCAATCCCAAGAAAGAAACCAGGTTCACACAGATCCCTAATCTTAAATGCAATAGATAGTTTAGACAGCAAATTATTCACCAAACTTATATCACTTCCCATCACAAGTATATCATCAACATAAACCAATAAATACAAAGATGCAGAGTCCTGCGAGTAATGAAATAGAGAGACATCTATCTTTGATGCCTTAAACCCAACCGATAGTAGAAATGTGTGCAGGTAGGGGTGAGCAAACAGTCGATCGGTTACATAACCGACCAAAAAACCAAAAAACCGACCATGATTTTTTACCGCCATAACCGACCGAGAGTAACACTATAACCGACAAAAAAACCGATCGTCGGTTTCGGCCATTTTCGTATTCGTATGCCGAAAACTTCTTGTATTCTTTTGGAATGATTTTGGAGTTCACAACATTCGTACATTACTTGGCAGAATGATTAGGATCAACAAACATTAATTCATACATGTGTACTTGGCAGAATGATTGGGATAATATATATATATATATATATATATATATATATATATATATATATATATATGTATATGTGTGTGTGTGTGTGTGTGTGTGTGTATCTATATATATATATACATACATACATACATATATATATTAATCGGTTATCGATCACCGACCGATAACCGAAAACTATAACTGCAAAATAATCGAAAAACCAAAAAATCGAAATTATTTTAAGATCAATAATCGAAACCGATCAAAAATCGACTTTTTCGGTCAGTTCGGTTATCGGTTATCGGTTATCGGGCGGTGAACCGATATTTTGCTCACCCCTATGTGTACGTGATTAAACCAAGCCCTAGGAGCTTGTTTCAATCCATACAAAGAACGTTTTAGCATACAAACAAAGATTAGGGAATTGAGCATCAATATATCCAAAGGGGCTGATGCATGTAAACAGTTTCAGTCAGATTTCAATTCAAGAAAGCATTATGAACATCAAGCTGCCTAATAACCCAACTAGGGGATATAGCCAAAGATAAAAGTAACCTAACTGTAGTGGGTGTCACCACTGGACTGAATGTTTCAAAGAAATCTTGACCAGCCACCTGATTGAACCTGTTGCTACTTACCTTGCCTTGTGTCCTTCAATTGACCCATCAGCCTTTCATTTTGTGCAAAAGACCCACTTACATCCAATAACATTCATGTTTAACCTAGAAGCAACAAGGCACCAGGTTTGATTTTGTAGTAGAGCATTGAACTCTTGATCCATTCCTCACGCCACTCAGGATACTTTGTGACACCCCGAAAATCTTATCCTTTAAATAGGGTTAATGGAGTAATTAATCCTAAGTTACCCTTGTTAATTTCCTACTCAATTTCCTAAATTGATAGTCGGAGGACCTAAGTTGACCAACTGTAACACCCCAGATTTTCAAGAACATTTAAAACTTATATAACAAGGATAACATCTCACTAAATCCCAAAGTATCACATAAGCGTACGGGGTGCTATGCCACACCTGGGCTAGAGAACCCAGGTGCACAGGCTATCTAACTAATATTCTCCGAAATATAAAAGCATAACATGGCACGCAGGCCGAAAGGGAAACTACTCTACTTCTACGCTCCAGTCAAGCGCGCTCCGGTGCTCTAATCCTCTGTGCCTGAAAGCCAAATATATCTGTTCAGCGAGAGATGCTGGTAACCCACTCCAACGCGTTGAAATACAATACATATAGAGATATATATATAGATATACGAAAACCATTTTGAGCATGAAGATATATTTTACGAACTCTAGCTTTTAAAACCGGGAATGACTCGACAGATAAGGCTAGACACAAGCAACAGTTATAACAAGCGTATACAATCCGCAACAGGCGAGACAGATAAAGCTGAGCACAATTAATAAACATAACCCAACATAAATAATCCTCAGCATAAATCACATAGTCACATCCCCAAGACATTCATAACGACAACTCATCCGTATTTCATCACATAGCACACTTTGTTGGCGCCACAGGACCAATCGCATGCCCATACATGAGGGTCAGCGCATATAGCTCTGACACGGCCCCGCAGCACCCTGCCCCGTATCGCAACACGGAGGGGTCGATCGCAACCGACCGATGAACCGCAGCTCATCATAATGTTTGATCGCAACCAAACAGTGGACCGCAGCCCAAGAGAATGTCATCTGACCGCAGCTCATGTAGAAACGTTTGATCGCAACCAAACGGTGGACCACAGCCCAAGAGTGTAAATCTGACCGCAGCCAGCTTCTGAACCGCAGCTCAGGAATAACCAATCCGATCGCAACCGAATTGGGGTGTCATGCACACATAACACATAGCAAGCACATGCAACCCACGTTAACACATTAGGAAGGGGAGAAAGCGTATAACAAAACCTATGCGTGATCCTTCACATATTAAGAATGGTCCTAAGGGGTTCATACTTCTTCCACCTAGGTCAACGGGATACCAATTCAACTAGCATGCAATATAAAAGACTCATAAACCTACGAACGGTACCCGAAACATCAAACTAGACACGGCACGATGAACGGAGTCCGTTGGGACACCACGGGGATTGCGGGAAACATCAAACGGGTAAGCCGGGGTCCCAAATGGGGGAGATTTCCACCGGGTAGCCGGTGGGTGGGGGGGGCCACCCGCTGGCTGCCCGCCGGTAAGCACTGTTCCGGGCAGCGGGTCGCCGGCGGGCAGCTGCCCGCCGCCGGAGACGTCCCTTCTGGCCGCGGGTAGGTGGCGGGGTTCCCTACCCCCCACTGACTCTTTATACACAAAACGCCCCGGGAACTATTGTGGAACCCGAAACCATGCTTAGACACTTTACAACGCAATTAACGATCAACACGTAGACAATTAACGGATCAAATACGAGAAATGTACGACACATAACCTATCATGCTTTTCTAAACATAATCGACACCCAAACATGCGATTTCCCCACCCGATACACCAAGAATAATATCATACGATACAACCTAGGGTTCTAATCACTTTTATACCAACAAGAATACGATTCGTCTTCTAATTACAAAATTCGGTACAAATAACACATAAGCATCCAGAATGCCATACAATTATCAAGAACGACATATAAACATCGAGAACTCCACATAATCATCAAGAACACCATAATTATCAAGAATCTCCCAATATCAAGATCACCCATGGAATTATCCCATCAATCATCAATAATAATATCACAAATCATCAATACACAATAATATGGGGAAATCCTACGGGGGAAATCATAGCTATGAAAATAGGTTTTGTTGAGACATGGGTTACCTCTTAGCCTTAATTAATTCCTTGGCTATGAAGGGTCTTTCTTTAAGCTTTCTTGCTTTCTTGATTTCTTCTAAGGGAATTCTTGGAGCTCTTTTGGGGTGGTGAGTCGTTTATTGTGGTGGGGGGGGGGGGGGTTCTAGGTGCCTCTTAAGTCCCCTATTTATATATTTAGGAGTCCTGATTAGGAACTAATATTATAGGCTTGCTAATTCTATTCCTTTTGGAACTAAGGATTGGGTTTAGGGATAAGGGCCCATGGACTATGGTGGGCCTTTTTCCCTAATTAATTATTATAATTTATTCTTTCTCTTGGGCTATGGCTTAATTAATTAATTGGTTTTAGGGGTCGTAACACGGGGTGTTACACTCTACCCCCCTTACGAGGGGCTTCGTCCCCGAAGCCTGGTGCTTTAATCCATTCTTTCACCCCCTAGGCATTCCGCATCTTGGCCTCTCAGTTAAGAATGTGGCCCCACGTTTTGCCTTAGCTGGGGTAGACTGGATTTCTGGTGGTGTTGTGATAGAAAGGTTTTGGGTCTACCTTGGCCTCCTGCTCCTGAGCTAGACGTCCCGCGAGTGCCCAAGGTGGCCTCGATTGCTGCCACCCTCTGATCTAGTGCGCGTGTCGTACGGATCAAGGATGAGAACCATTCCTCCATGATTTGGTTTTTCCGGTTGAGCTGTGCGAGTATGCGTTCATTGATTGAGCCCTCGTTTTGCTCCCTTGGGTTCCCTCCTGATCGTGGTTGCACCGACGGGTTGGGTTCGTCATCCTCCTCCTGGTCCTCATTTCCCTCCAGGATTCCGCAATCTTGCATTGCTCGTTTGAGCTTCTTGTTGGAAATGTCCAATTGGTCGACCAATTCTCTTCGTTCATCCTCGGGTTTTTGGCAAATTTCTTCGAGGGTGAGGTAATGTCCTCCCTCGGTGTAGTAGATATCATTGCGGCGTAGGTTCTGGGCGTTAAAGACCATGCCATTTGCGGTCTTGACCTCGGTGTGGCTTAGGTCCACCCCCTTTTTCTCCATGATCCAACTTAGGATCATCCCGTAGGGTAGGCTAAGCCGGTTGCTTGATTTGCAAAACTCCATGTGTTTTAGCATGAGGGCCGGCAGGTTGAACTTGATTTTGTGTTTCAAGAAGTAGGCAAAGGTGCACTCTAAACTCCCCGCGTCCTTGCTTTAATTGTTCGTGGGCAGGAGGCTATCGGTTACAATCATAACCAATATCTTTTGTTCCGCCGATAGCCACTTTCTATTCGGTTGTGTGGCCGAGGTGAATCCTTCCTCTTTCCCGAGTAGGTACCCGAGGTAGTCCTTGTACCCCGTGGTTTGGGTATCAATCCACCCCTTCCGGTCATAGTTGGACACACCCGTGGTGGTCAATTTCAAGAGCTTGGCCAAACGGCCTTCGGAAAGCACAATTTCCTTGCCACGGACCTTGGTGGTGATTTCTATTTTGTCACCCCGTTTGGTGGCCACAAGGTGTTGGTAGAATTCTTTCACCAAGTCGGGGTATGTATCCCCTTTGATGGCGAGGTAAGTATCTAAGAGCCCTTGATGTTTAAGCATATCAACCAATTCCGGAGAGAATTGGTCGGGTTCAAGTGCTTTACCTCCGATCACGGTGTAATCGGCGTTGCTCCATTCCGGGGTGCGGGTTTCGAGGGGCTTTTTTCGGCATTGTGGAGCTTTCCTTGGTGACGAAATTGTCCGGTAAATTTTCCGGTGATTTTCCGGTGGGACGGCGGCGGAACTCCGGCACGCTTTTCCGGCGAGATCCTCGGCGGTGCGGCGCTTGCGAGGACGGTGGCGGCTAGATGGGTTCCGGCGAGGGGCGATGGCGTGGTGGTGGCGTTTGGGACGTGGCAACAGCGGGTTGCAGCTGGGCGGCGGCTGGGCGTGACACGGGCGACCTCCGGGCGAAGGTGGCTGAGCGATGGCGCGGCGGCGTGGGGCTGGCGAAGGACGGTCGGCCGATGGCGGCGTTCGATTGGTGGTGGCGTCG